CCTGATCCTCTATGAACCAGTCTCAGTGTAGTCCTGATCCTCTATATCAGGGGTCACCAACCTTTTTTAAACTGAGAGCTACTTGAAGGGTACTGAGTAGTACGGAGGGCTACTTATTTGATACAAACTTCCTGAATAACAAAGTTGCACAGATCACCTTTTAATAATAATAATAATAATATACGTGAAGAGACCGTTTGATCACATGTCAGTTAATTATTCCTCACAATAATTATTAAGAATGATTTCCACAACAATGATATTACAGCTACACATATATATTTAAACATGCTTTTATTTCTGTTAATCTGTTTCAACATTTGAAAGTCAGAGGTATCACATCTCTGATATTTTTGTATCATCACATGATCAAAGCCGGTTACTTTTGCACATAGCGCCTGCTGGTGAATGATGCAGTGGTAATGTGACATTTTGGGAAGTCTGGGTCACCTTTGCATTGCGCAATGAAGCCTGCATGCCGGCCCGTCATCGCGGGAGCCTCGTCTGTTGTCACCGACACCAGCTTTTCTAACGGTACCTTTGTCTCCACGAAGAAACTAGTAAAAAGTCTCGTCTATAGCCGAGCGGGGGATCCAACCCTCCGAGGCGCGCGAGCGTCTTCGGGCGCCCGCGTTCAAACCTCTAGTCTGGGCCTTTTCGGTCGGATTGCCCCGCGGCCTGTTCCGAGGATTTACAGACCTGACAACGGGGTGCGCTCACGGCGTGCGTCTATATGATCCTCTATATGAACCAGTCTCAGTCTAGTCCTGATCCTCTATATGAACCAGTCTCAGTCTAGTCCTGATCCTCTGTATGAACCAGTCTCAGTCTAGTCCTGATCCTCTATATGAACCAGTCTCAGTGTAGTCCTGATCCTCTATCAGACCTCCATCAGTACAGAGACCATCAGAGAGAAGATGGTCTGTTTCTATAGAGTTATTCTTAATGCTCGTCATCGGAGCCACCGGGTCAGATTCTGGTGAAACCAGATGAACTCATGCAGGTTCACAGAACCTCCTTCAGCTCAGACTCCAGCAGAGACCGGTCCACCGTGGACAGACCCAGATCCTCCAGCAGAGACCGGTCCACCATGGACAGACCCAGATCCGGAGCTCCGGAGGGAGGAGGAGAGCTCAGCTCCCAGCAGCAGCAGCGTCTCCTCCTCCTCCTCCTCCTCTTCCTCCTCCTCCTCCTCCTCCAGGAGCAGAGCTTCTCCTCTCTGCTGGAGACCCAGGACGTATTGCTGGACCCGCTGGAGGGAAGGGAGGCACGGGAGAACCAGAACCAGAACTGAGAGGAGCAGACTGTCAGACCCTGCTGCAGTAAGATGAGAGGTTGTCTAAAGGGACTCTGGTGCTCAGAGACACTACCACTTTAGTCCACAGGGGGCGACAGAAACAACAGGAAGTAAAGTTCCTCATAACTTAATCTAATAAAATCACGTTTTGATCTGGACTCTCTCCACCTTATGTGACGTCTTCTCTAATATAGCTTCTCCTACCTTGCAGGCTTTGGGGCTGTGGATGAAGATCCACACAGACAGCAGGTTTCCAGGCATGCCGATGATGAAGACGAGGATGTAGAGGACGGTGAAGGGTCCCATCTGGTCGTTGACGATGCACTGCCCCCCCTCCTCGGCTCCTCCGGCGCTGGAGTTGAGGGAAGAAGACGTCATGGAGAGCTGAGAAACACAAAGCACCGGATCACTTTGTTTTCTGTTAGAACTAATCAAATAAACAGTAAAGGTTCAGAAACACACAGAGAGAGAGATGACTGTTTGTCAGGTTGTAAACATGAGTTTATGGTCTCAATCTCTAGTTTCAAGTCTTCTTCAATACAGCATGATGTTCATTTAGTACATTATGGTCCATTTAGAGTCACACAGACCATAAAGCAGGGGATGCTTTAGGGCGGGGCTACACGGTGGTCACTACCAGAGACGTAATGTACTAAATGAACATCATGCTGTATTGAAGAAGACTTGAAACTAGAGATTGAGACCATAAACTCATGTTTACAATGTTTACTGAGGTAATAAATCAAGAGAGAAGTAGAGTCATTTTCTCATAGACTTCTATACAACCAGAGGAGTCGCCCCCTGGTGGACACTAGAGAGACTGCAGCTTTAACACATGAAGCTCTGGTGACAGACAGGTAGCTGCAGCTCTGTGGTCACATACTGAACCTCGCTGCAGCAGGAAGTGGTTCATCAGGAAACTTTTACTCATTTCATTGAAAAACACAAAGCAGCTTCTCTCCAACTTCAGAACAAACACGATTCACCAGAAACAACAAATAAAGACAGAACAACGGCACTGTGAAGTATTCAGATACTTTACTGCAGTAAAAGTACTCATACAACACAGGACAAATACTCTGTCACAGCAAAGGAACTAATATAAGTCCTGAGTAGTTTCTTATTTAATTAAGAACTTTAAAGCAAAATGTCAGCTCGTTGTTTTCAATGTAGACGACATTATTGTGCATCAGGACGTGATATCTGATTTCATTATGATTCCATTGACAGAAGATCAATATCATATTGATTGATCGAGCAGCTCCATAAAACAAGTGTTTTATAACCTGAAGCTTGTTTCCTTTATATAAGAATGGGTGAGTTCAGTGAGCATCCTTAAAGAGTTATTATTTAATCAAAACTTCTGGTTTCATGTGAATCATCGTATTTAAACTGAGAGGACGCTGCATCACGTCTCATTCATTGATCGTCTCTCTGAGAGACAGAAGTAAACCTGAACGATGTCTTACCCTTAATGTGTCCTCTAATACCGTCCTTCCATAGGTCCTTGGACCACGTGTTGGACCCCTGAGGACCCTCCAGTCCCCCCCCCCCCCCCTCTTCAGGTCCTCGGGGTGCGTTTGATTCAGTGTGTTGGTGCAGATCGTTCTGCTCGAGGCTGCGGAAGCTGCAGACAGATAGAAGGTGATTTCCTGCTGCTGTCGTCAGTTTGACCACAGGCCACGCCCCCCTGTAACACACATACACACACTCACACACACTCACTCACACACACACACACACACACACACACACAGTGTGTGGGAAAGATTAAATTAGGCAAACAGCTTTCTGCTGAAATGGTTCATTCCAATCCAGAATCTCAGGTTTTGATTTGAAGTCATGTGACGGCGTCCTTATTTAAGACAGACGCGTCTTCTCCTGAACATGGAACCGTTCTGTTTAAAGCGGACGAGTTGAGAATGAAGAACGAGGCGTTTAATGACACACACAAAGCTCAGAATGCAGAAGAGACACACAAGAATACGACTTCTCACCATTCTTCACCAATCTAACTCTCTTCCTGTCCAGGTAGCTGACACTGACGATGTATTATTTATTTATTCATTCATGTATTTATTGAAGGGAAGCCACTTGAGATGTAGCATCTCATTTTATAAATACAAACACATTATTAAATGACATAATATACACTTTATATACACAGATATAAGAACACATTAATGAGTCATATAATAAATGAACACATCACATTATTCTGACTTCAGTCAAACTGAAAGAATTAAAACACAAACAGATTCAAATAAAGACTGGAAGGGAAGTTACTAGACTGTTTATGTTATTAACATTTTAACATCTTATTGTTCACCAAAATATAAAGAAACAGAAAGTATAAATATAACTTCTATACATTGTATATATGTGTGTGTGTGTGTGAGTGGTGTGAGTGTATGTGTGTGTGTGTGTATGTGTGTGTGTGTGTGTGTGTATGTGTGTGAGTGGTGTGAGTGTATGTGTGTGTGTGTGTATGTGTGTGAGAGTGTGTGTGTGTGTGTGTGTGTGTGGGTGTGCGTGTGTGTGTGTGGGTGTATGAGAGTGTGTGTATGTGTGTGTACGTGTGTGTGTGTGTGTAGGTGTGTGAGTGGTGTGAGTGTGTGTGTGTGTGTGTGTACAGGTGTGTGAGTGGTGTGAGTGTGTGTATGTGTGTGTGTGTGTGTGTGGTGTGTGAGAGTGTGTGTGTGTGTGTGTGTACGTGTGTGTGTGTGTGTAGGTATGTGAGTGGTGTGAGTGTGTGTATGTGTGTGTGTGTGTGT